CCTCTTCCCCTTCTTGAAGATGGGGACCACATTTGCTACCTTCCAATCATCTGGCACCTGGCCCAAGCACCACGATCGCTCATAGAGCCGTGCCAGGGGCCCCGCAATAACCCCAGCTAGCTCCCTCAACACCCTGGGGTGGAGATCATCCGGACCCGCTGACTTGAATGCGTCCAGCCCCTCCAGAAGTTCTCTAACCCGGTCCTCCCCAGCCTGAGGTCTGAAGGCGATCCCCTCGAGTCCGGCTTCTATCACAGCAGGGAAGTTCCGGCTTATAGAAGCCTAATGAAAGACTAAATGCAGTGAAAGTGCTTTTGAAATGTGCAAAAATGACCAAGAAAGACAAAGGGCCTAGTGCCTGGAAGAGGCCAGGAACATTTATATTGGAACTAAGCACTAACACTGATTCACTTCTGGCTTATACAAGAGATGTCATCTCCCTGCATATCTGCTATATAGAATTAGGATTAGACTTATCCACCTGGCACACAGAGGGACTGTGAGGATGAGTTGAGTGATGATGAAAAGCAGTGTATCAATGCTAATTTTTCATAATAATAGAGAACTGTTAATAGGATGCACAGATGGTAAGATTCTGCAATCGTTGTATGGGCCTGAGTAAGGACTGCAGCATTTCTTCCAGGGGCAAGAATTTGGGAGGGAAAGAAGCAGTGCGATGCTTATCCCTTTACTTTCATATCAGTAACATCAGTAAGTGCAGGTCATTGGCTGTGTGTTACAACAGTGACTGTAATTATTGTGCAGTACTTGTCTGGATTGATCATCACCTCCATGATTCTTGTGGAAACTGGACCAAAATAGAAGCAATTTGTCTTTCCAGTTTGATAGTGTGTTTGATTTCATAAATCCCTGAGGCTCTCCCTAATAGCGTTCTGGAGTCCTGCACAGCTTTGAAAGAAATCCACTTGCTCAGTAATACTCTCGTTTACACTGATTACATATTAACCAGTTTCTTATAAGGAGGCAGATTCACCAGATGTAAAAACATCCCACCTGAATAGACTGGAGTTTGTCCAAACCTGTTCCTGCGCATGGGCCCTGGCCTTGCTTGTAAACCTAGAGAGAATGAAGCATTAGACGTCCCATCGAAGTTCATGTTGCTGCATAATAATGGCAATTTTGGGGACGGAGAAAAAGACTATTGTGAAATAGTTGCCAGAGTCTAATCAATTTTTCTCATCCCATACCTTGTAAGACATAACAAAGAAAAGGAGAATCAAGGTGTCTCAATAATAAATTAACCTTCGTGTAAATGACATTGGCGGCACTTTCTGAAATTTCTAATAGAAACACTTCTCTAAGAAGCGCCTTGTGGATTCACCTCTG